CTGGAGTAAATGAGTACGAAGTATTATTTAGGGTATCTTCATCACAAAACTTCAAAATGGCAGAATTTAATTTGTAAAGAATAAAGTATACAGCATCACATCCAATATCAAGAGAAATTAACAAAAGGAAAGCAAAGCCAATTAAAACCTTGAACATTAGTACATTACACAAGAGCAGAAACGAAATTACACGGCGTAAATTTTTACAGAAAAAACAACAAAAACACCGAAAACAGAAAAAATATACTCCTAATAAAGAATCTTCACAGTACCTTCCACTATTCCAAACTAATGATAAAACAATAGATTGAATTCACATGATCCACAAATAATGGCAATATACACGTCGGACATACGTGTGAATGTGTAATTCACAAGTGCACATGACAGTTGACAATTACTATGGAATACAGAGGGAGTATAAGTTAAGGTAATGTTCAATTCACCATATACTCCATTGGCTGATGTGATCTAATTTTCTAATTCAACTAAAACTTCATCTCAATTTATAAAAAAAGAATTAAGATGTCAACATTGTATTAATGCGCATTTTTTAATAATAAATTTACATAATTTTTTTATGGAAAAATCTAATATATTTAGCTTAAATAATCCAATCTAATCATAAATTAAGATACAAGTACAACTTATTTTTTGAGTTCTTGAACGGGTAACTAGGTAAGTGAATTCAACAATAACTAAAGTATTACTCCATATTAGTAAACCTAACCAAAAAAAATGCATTAATAGTAAATTAGTAACTGGGTAACAAGGCAATCATTCCCAGCCTGGCTTCTAATAATTACCAAATCTTCTTAGTCAGCATGAAATGGAAAATAGTTGCACCATAAAAGTACTATTAAAAAAACCTAAAATAGTAATAAAGTGCACTCAATATATTAAAAACTCCAAACCCGGATAACTTTAGTGATTAAACGAGTGGTTAAGATTTACACACAAAAAATGGCCACTAAAAATCACTAAATAACTCATGTACTTGTATAATAATTTCGGATCCCCATATTTTATGATAAGGTTGAAAGTAGATCCGCGTAGAAGCTGACTTGGAAAAACTAAGCTGACTAATCTCGATTTTCTGCGCTTTTTTCTAAGTATTTTATACAATGGGCCCTTGCTTGGCAAATAAAGGTAGGATTCGCCTTATAAATAGTGCGCTTAAATCATCATTTTTCCTTCATCTTTCTTTCTTCATCCTTAGAACTCATTTTCACAACCATTAAAAATGACTTTAACTCTACGTTCTACAAATTCTTTCCTTAAGGGTCTCAGAAGCTTTAAAACTTCTGAAGAATTCCCAAATCTCGTACGTATTGCACGAATCAGACCTTCATATCGTGTTCGGGCTATCAGTTCCTTACAGGCAGAGCATTTTACGCCTGAAAAGATGGTGTTAGAAGGCAGGTGTAGTGATAAATGGGAGAAACTCCATGAATTGACAGGTCATCATCACACGAATGCTTCGAAGGTGCCGGTGTTTGTGATGCTTCCTTTAGACACTATATCTACTGGTGGAAGCTTAAACAAGCCACGGGCAATGAACGCCAGTCTGATGGCGCTAAAAACTGCTGGTGTTGAAGGAGTAATGGTAGACGCATGGTGGGGGTTGGTCGAAAAGGACGGACCTTTGAACTATAATTGGGATGGGTATGTTGAGCTAGTGCAAATGGTCCAAAGGCATGGTCTAAAGCTACAAGTAGTTATGTCTTTCCATCAATGTGGGGGAAACGTGGGAGACTCCTGCAGGTATGGAAATACTAATAATAATTGTGTTTCATTAGCTGTTCTTTTAGGATCATAGTAGATTATAGAAAACTAAATCATCTTAGACTAAATTTTTTGCAAATTTCAACTTGCAGTATTCCTTTACCCCCATGGGTACTAGAAGAAATCGACAACAACCCAGACCTTGTCTACACAGACAAATCAGGCAGGAGAAATCCAGAGTATATCTCCTTAGGCTGCGATTCACTGCCGGTGCTAAAAGGAAGAACACCCATTCAGGTCTACTCTGACTACATGAGGAGCTTCCGTGAGAAATTCAAAGATTATCTGGGCAAAGTTATAGTGGTAAGACTCGAAGCTACCTAGCACTTCCCCCCAAATCTATAAATCATTCAAATCACTAATTGGCTTTATATGAGCTAAAAAACCCCAATAAACTTATTCTGGAAACAAAATGAGTACAGATCCCACCTATCAGGTTATCAGTTAGGAAAACAATATGTAAATATATTCAGATAAAAGGATGATCCAATTGGCCAGATAAAAGAAGAATAAATATCATACTAAATAATTAAAAAATATTAAAATAAAGATAATTATTTTCTATAATATAAACAATGCAATACATGCCAAATATACCACTATATGTGAGCAAAAAGAGACAGAGACAGAGAGATTCAAGGATTGCAAGACGCGTTTGAAATCCAAAAATAATTGGGTCACACAAACCATATCTTGAATTCCTGATAATAATCAAGAAATATCTTCTGCTAGCTTTACTAATACAAATTCTATACTTATTGCAGGAAATTCAAGTAGGGATGGGACCATGTGGAGAGCTAAGATATCCATCTTACCCAGAAAGCAATGGCACTTGGAGATTTCCAGGGATTGGAGAGTTTCAGTGTTATGACAAGGTAAAATCTTAGACCGAGTCCTAGACCTACTATAATTTTACATATAACAGAAAGTAAAGGATATGCGAACACGATTAACATACCAATAATATATGTCGGACAACAGACTCATCTTCATTTTTCTTATATTCAAACAGTATATGAAAGCATCATTGCAAGCAGCAGCTGAGGCATGTGGACAGCAAGAATGGGGAAGAAATGGGCCGCATGATTCAGGCCAGTACCACCAGTATCCTGAAGACACAGGATTCTTTCGTAGAGAAGGAACATGGAAAACACCATATGGACAGTTCTTCCTAGAATGGTACAGTGCGAAACTAATTGAGCATGGTGAGAGCATTCTAGGAGCTGCTCATGGAATTTTTAAGGAAACTGGGGCAAAATTGTCCGGGAAAGTAGCAGGAATTCATTGGCATTACAAAACCAGATCACATGCCGCTGAATTAACAGCTGGATATTATAATACAAGAGATAGAAATGGATACCTACCAATAGCTAGAATGTTTGCGAAGTATGAAGTTGTACTCAACTTTACATGCATGGAAATGAAGGATGGGGAGCAACCAGATCATGCAAACTGTTCTCCTGAAGGTCTAGTGCAGCAAGTAAAATTGGCAACTCAAACAGCTGGAGCTGAGCTTGCTGGTGAAAATGCTTTGGAGAGATATGATGCAAGTGCATTCGGGCAAGTTTTAGCAACCAGCAAGTCTCAAACGGGAAGTAGATTGAGTGCTTTTACATACTTAAGGATGAACAAAAGATTATTTGAAGGAGATAATTGGAGGCATTTGGTAGAGTTTGTGAAGAGCATGTCTGAAGGTGGTCAAAACGAGAGACAATCAACAAAAGACTTAAGCAGGACGGGCCTTTATGTAGGATTTTTAAAAGAGAAGAGCATTCAGAAAAATGAGCATGCTTTAGTATAAAATTGTACAAGCACTGCAATAATTATTAGTGCAAACTAGCATACTCTTATACAACGAAAGGGTAAATATTGATCAAATAGTATAGAGCATGAATTTTACAATGTATGATGTCAATTTCAAGGCAATTTCGTAAGATAAATAAGAGTGAAGCCTTATACATCCTATCTTCAAGTAGTATAGAGCACGAATTTACAATGTATCCATGTCAATTTCAAGGCAATTTCAAAAGATAAATAAGAGTGAAGCCTTGTACATCCTAGCTTTCTTAGATAACTAAAGACAATAGAAACACAATGATCAAAGATGTCCTCAAGATAAAAAAAGACCTAAAAATTCTTCCATTGCCATGGCCATCCCGGCTATCAAAAGCACCCGAGTCAAATTATGCACTCAGAGATAAAATAAGACTTACTTCAGACCCATCTTTACCAAGAGACTTGACACCAATCATCAACTTTTAGCCTAAAGTAACTTGACATTCCCCCTGAATAAGGTTTGCTAGGACAATTGTCTCATTCTTTACTTCCCTCAAATACTAGAACCTGCACAGCTTATTTTGATTTAGCCTCTTGAAAGTAGCCAAGTACATTGTGAATCAAACAGATGTATTCGTTGAACCAATCTGCAACTAGTGAAATGTATACGATTTTCATTTAATCAAACAGCTAAATCATTTAAGGGACTAGTCCAAAGATCATACAACACTTATCATGCCCCCATAGTTCAGACTTGCCACCATAATTGGAGGTTACAAACAAGGTATTAACTATATTCAAGTGTTCAACCTTAAGTTAGGACCATTCCATGATTGGCAAAACAAGAAAAGTTGATCACTTGAAAACTTGTCCATCTACCTAAATCCCAAAGAACAATCTGTAAAACAAAACCATGCATGATCCTGGTCTTCTATGTGCGCCAACTGATTGCCAACGGCAGAACCTTGAGCAATGTTCCAACAGACTAACATCCTTTAATAGGACTTTATCTTGCCAAACCAAAGATGGATCTCATGACTCCTACGCCATATTATACACTAAGCAATACAACCTTAGTTTTAGGCTCATATCCGTATGCCTAAGTAACCTGATTGCTTACTAGAGAGAGTGGCCTTCTCATTAAAAAAAAATAGAGAATCTCCCAAAACTATAATCAATAAGCAACAGCTGGAATCGGAAATAGAAGTAGCAAACCTCATCCAGGAATTATACCAAAAAGCTAAACACAGTAATCACTCAGAATAAGTAACAAGAGAGACTCCAGGGTCTTCTCTAGCTCAATCATTTGTAAGAAATTACTTCAACGTATTCCATGTCTCCAAAGAAACAGCAAAGCCAACGACAACGATAACAATAACAATCACAATCAGTCAACCACACATATAATGAGGAGAAGCAATCAAAAATGAACTCAGCGCTAGAATTGAAAATCAGCAGTAATTTAACAACAAATTAAGAGCTAATAAATTGAATTCAAAATCAGGATTTAGTGTATTAATTCATCAAAGCAATAGTTTTACAAAAACAACTACAAAGAGGAGAGAGAAAGTACACAATCAAGATTGAGGAGGAGTAGGCGAAGAGGCGGAATTGGAATTAGAGCGACGAAGATCATCAATGAGACTACCAAGCTCTTTGCGAGCTGATTCTCTTCCAAACATGAAGCCATACCTAGTTGATTCCACCAAAATTATTCAAATTTTTCAGCAAAAATTGATCGAAAAACAAATTGGCAGCCATTGATGAGGAAATCGGAGGAGAGAGAAAGTAGAAATTACCAGAAGGATACGGCGGAGAAGAGGCCGGCGGTTGCGACGGTGTGGAGAAGAGTGAATTTTCTCTCCATTGTTGATTGTTTCAAAAGTAAACTGAACTGGTGAAAGTTGGGGTTTTGTGATTTGTGAGGGTTTAGAAATGGCGGGTTTTGAGTGAACAAAATTAGGATTACTGATGCAATTTTGCCTATTTGGAAACACAATTTAGGTTTATTAGTTGAGCCATAATCATAATTCATAGGGGCATAGGGCTTGTCTTGTCTTAGCAGTAAGGGTTTGTTCTTGCGACTTAGGTTGTAGGATCGATCATGAAAATGAAAATGAGTTGAATAGTGGTTATGATCAAATTATATTTCGATTTTTTATCTAACAAGTTTGTTATTGTAGAATCTATTTAAAAATTGTGCTCTTAAGAATTATATGATTGTATCTAACATTAAGGATGGGTGTTAGCCATTAGCAGACTAATAGCCCAAATGGATAATCAAGTGACTATCTTAGCCAACCTTATCAAGGGGATTGTGTTAATCCACTTAACAATTGTTATTAAATGATAAGAAGCAATGAATGGAAGTCTCCTTTTTTTTTTTCTTTTTTTCTTGTGTATCATTAGGGCAACAGGGTTGCGACCTAGTTAGCTAATGCCGAATTAATCAAACTACGAAGATGGAAGCGGCTTGACTGCATTTTGTGTTGGTTATTTTTCTTTGATTTCGGGGCCTAGCCTATCGCCCTATCATAACTTTCTCAGTTTCTTGTTGTACAGATTAATTAAAAAAAAAAAAAAGTCAATTGACAAACAAATTTACTTATCCTAAATACAATTACTTGTAGTTTTCAGAAGTGAATAACACGGAGTATGACCATTCTCCCTATTTGTTTGTCCTATTTGACTCTTTACAATGTCTAAAACAGTATTAAAACTCTAAACACGTAAGCATTTCTAATTCCATATAAAAAAAATTAAAAATATGATATTAAAGATAGACATTAAATTTGATGATAATTTGATATCAAAGTTGTAAAATTTACAATTACAATGGGGCAAAAAACAGTTGAGGAAAGAGGGGCTATTCAAATACGTGTATGCTACCATGTTGTTTGACTTGTGATCTCAAGGATATATTGGTAGATGATAGATGGAGGGGAATTAGGTGACGTATGTGATGGTGTGGCAGTAATGGACCATGATGTCAGCCAGAAGGCCCAGAAGGCAGACGATAAAGCGTTCTTTATGACTGCTGCCAACTTCAGTCAAACCATGCAAAGTCAACAGCACATTCATTTTGACCATTTTACTACTGTAGCATTGTAGATTGAGTGTACTCGGTAAACATTATAAGATTAGCTTTGAATTTGTGGGTAATTAAAGGATTGTGTTATTTGCGCGTAATCTCTTCCTAATCAATAATAACAACGAATTCAACCACTTTGACTTTGTATTTACTCTTTCTACCTCAAATTTGTATGTACCATACCTCAAATTCTAAAAATATAAAATAAAATAATGGTTTATACATATTATGATAACAGGTGGCGTTTTGACAAAGAAAGCATTATATTATTTGGTAGACTCTACTATTATTAATCGCTTAAAATGAATGATTTGAATCATACTAAAATGACTTTTATACTAGTTATAGGACGTTTTTCCAAAGTGAGCCAATTTTGGCAAATATTAACCAAAATGGTTGCGTGGCAAAAGTATTTACCAAACTAAGCTTCCAGGCTAAAACGCTGTCTCGGTCAGCATTTTATGCCTGGGTTTTTTTTTAAAAAAAATCAACCTAAAAACGCTGTCTGGGACAGCGTCTTTGTTGTTGACCTTTTTTTTAAAAAAAAAAAAATTTGTAATTGCCTTTTATTTATAAAAATGTTTTTTAAAAAAAAAACAGTTATACCAAAGATGTTGTCCCAAACAGCGTTTAACTCTGGAACTATAAACGCTGTCTCAGACAGCGTTTAAGGTTATTAATGAAACGATGTCTGAGACAGCGTTTCTGTCGTTTTTTTTTCCCTCCAACAGCGTATTTCATTTCATTTCCTCCTCCTTCATTCTCAAACCCCTTCTTTCCCAAACTCTAACTTAATCCCCCTCTCTCTCATACTTGTGCTCCTCCGTGTAGACCGCCGCCGGCGCCGCCACCTCCACCGTCGCCCGCCGTCACCTCCACCGTCGCCCTCCGTGTAGCCCACTATACACTCCCCTCACCCTGAAATAGGTATTCATTCAACTTTCTTTGTGTTTTAAATTCTAGGGTTTATGTTGGTGATTTCTAATTTTTTTGGAATTGGGTTAAAATGTTGATGAGGTTGAGTTGTTAGTGTTAAAAATGTTGAATTGTTAGTGTTGGTATTGTTGAATTATTAGTGTTGGTAATTGTTGAATTGTTAGTGTTGATAATGGTAGTGTTGATATTGTTAGTGTTGATAATAGTTTGGATAATGTTGAATTGTTGTTGTTGGTTTTGTTGAAAATTGTTGACAATGGTTGATAATTATTAGGTTTTGAACAATTGTAATTACCTACATTGTTGTGTAATAATGGTGATTTAGGGGTTCTTAGTAGTTAATTTGTAGAGTAAGTAAAATTTTTTTGTTTGATTGTGGTGATTTAGGGATGATTTAACGGCTTTACGTAAAATGTGTTTTGGTTGTTATGTAGAATATGGCTGGACAAAATGCAGCGTTGTTATGTTGATGGGGAGGTGAAATTTTGTGTAATGGATCAAATGTGGAGTTCAGTGGAGGGAATATGGACCTTATAACACTTGAACCGAACATGACTGTGACTGATCTGATGAATGAGGTTCACAGTTGTATTGGTTCAAACCCTATGATTGTTGAACTGAACCTTAAAATGAGGTGTGATACTGGTCATGGGGTGCAAGTGTTACCTGTCTCTACGAACAGACATTTGAAAGGTTTGAGGAGCATGGTAGGAATGAAGGGTTTTCCCAATGAGATATATGTAGAAACAGTGCCTATATGTACCCAACAAAGTACTCGGGCAGAACAACAAGCTACATATGTCTCTGATTACAACACCGCGTCCTTCCAAGAGCCCGCAAACCACATTCCATCGAATGCATATGGGATGGGTTCTTTCACTCGAATGATGCAGGACGACCAATTTCACTTGCCTTTTAGTTCTCATATAGCTTCACCAGTACATGCGGGGGGACGCGTGACAGTGTTCGGCCAGCCTGCTCCGTCGTCATCGAACATCGTGGCATCTTCGCCGATGCAATTGCATAGCTACTCTCCTATGCAAGGTGATGATGGTTCACCGTTTCGAGAAGAGCCAAATCATTTTGATGATGTTGTGAATAATGAATTGTCGGTGTATGATGTGTATGCGGAAATGGATGATGAGGACGAGAACGGAGAGGGGGATGATGAACCTACACAGGTGGAAGATGGTCAGCCGTTGGTTAGAACTCCCATACCTTGGTTCAGTGAGGTACCTGAGAACTATGAAGTTGATCAGTATTGGGCCGAATCGAGTAGCCACACCTCTTTTGTTCCCGGGGGAGAATTTGAGAAGGGAATGTATTTTGAGAGCAAGAAACTGCTTCAAGAAATGGTGAAGATGTATTCTATTCAGAGGAATCAATTCTACACCACAGTGACCTCGAATGATGGTGTCCTACATCTGCGATGCAAGAAGAAATGTGGTTGGATGCTACGGGGTACCAAATCGAGTGAGCACTCACATGGTTTTACCATAGTCACGTACAAAGGCTCGCATCGGGAGACATGTATCACTGAAGTACTATCTAATGATCACCCACACTTGGATTCGTCCGTAATAGTCGAGTATGTGAAGTCCTTTGTGCGGAAAGATCCTTCGTTGAAAGTGGAATTCATACAGGAACTGATCTCGAAGCAATTTCATTTCGATGTCCCGTATCGACGAGCGTGGTATGCCAAGGAGAAAGCTATAGCTGAGATATTTGGGGATTGGGAGAGTTCATATGGCAGACTTCCCCACTTCATGCAAGCACTCCTATGGTCGAACCCGGGAACATGTGTCGTATGGAAACACAAAGCTTTAGTGGATGGTGTATACTACAGCAACATGGAAGTGTTTGAACGAGTGTTTTGGGCCTTTGGTCCTTGTATCGATGGCTTTAAACATTGTATGCCTGTTATCTGTATCGATGGGACGCACTTGTACGGGAAGTATAAAGGAACACTGTTGGTTGCTACGAGTGTTGATGCAAGCTTCCAAGTATTTCCTATTGCATTTGCGGTGGTTGAAGGGGAAAACACTTCCAGCTGGTCTTGGTTCCTAGGTTGTATTCGAGATCGTGTCACGCAACGGGATGGCCTTTGTGTTATTTCTGATCGGCATCCTGGGATCATTGCAGCAATGAATGATCCTAATGTTGGATTCACCCAGCCCCGAGCGTATCACAGGTTTTGTGTCCGCCACATAGCCTATAACTTGAAGACTCACGTGCGAAGTAATGACATGAGAGACATGTTCAAGGCCGCTGCGTACCAAAGGCAAGAAAGAAAACTTCAAGTTGATCTGTGTTTCATTGGTGAGGCCTGTCCCAAGGCCATTGAGTACATTGCTCAAGTCTCGTTCCCTATGTGGTCTCTGTTTCACGACAGTGGTCGCAGGTATGGTATATGTACTACTAACTTCTCGGAGACATTCAACAATGTGCTGAAAGGAGCTCGGTTTCTACCGATTATGTCCCTTGTCGAGTTAACCTTCCACAGAGTTAACAAGTATTTCACTTTGAGAAGGGAGTCTTCTGAGGCTAGGTCTGATCAGGGACTTCCATACCCCCCAAAGGTCACTGCCATCCTCGAGAAGAACACCGCTAAAGCCAAATATCATAGAGTGGATGCTTATAACCGGCGATTGCATATTTACCAAGTGACAACAGAGAGGGGAGAGAGAGTTGGTAATAAAGGAGGCCACAAGCATACGGTGAACTGGCAGTTGAGAACGTGTACGTGCAACAAACCGAAGATATTCCACCTCCCATGTTCTCATGTGCTAGCAGTCTGTGCTACATACTCACTATCAGAACGGCCTTGGGTGGACCCTCTGTTGCAGTCGGCAGCCTACATGAACACCTATGCACCACAGTTCTGGCCGATCCCCTACGAGACAACCTGGGCACAGTGGGCACAGTACGTATGCCCTAAACTCATTCCGGACGGCACAATGATACGTGGAAAAGGTCGTCCAAAGTCGAAGCGCATACGCAATGAGATGGATGACAGCAACCGGCCCCCAACCAAATGCAGCCGTTGTCACCAGCAAGGTCACAACCGCACTACTTGTCCATCTAGACCAACATAGGACCTAAGTGTATATGTGTTATTTGATATAGTAGTATGTAGTGGTGTTATTTTGATGAAACAGTTATAATTTTCTACATTATGTGTTATTGTGTTCAATTCGATGAATTTTATTTTGTACGTTGGATGTTCGAGATTTCCTGTTTATGCCTTTCAATCGAAATTAGTATTCAATATATTGTGTTAGTGTTTGATGTGTAACGTTTTCAATGAACAGATATCATGGACGTACGGGATAGGACACCCGAACCTGTTGACCCTTCTGTCATGTCGTTCAGGGTTATCCCATGCAGGGCGTTATGGATCATGACGATCCGTACATGGTGTGGTACAGGCTTATCACACGCCGTTTCATCAACCCCAGCTACACACCACCGTCCACCCATTACCACCCGGCACATGACGTCATTAGCGGATATGTGAGTTTCTTTTACTATACTTATCATCCTCATTTTTTAACTTTTTTAAATATCATGTACTTGACTGATCGATGATTACTACAGGCGGCGGATATGGTGGCGATGTATGATGCACTGTCCCTCGCCCTTACAGACGGACCCACCAGAGCCCAGGTCCAGCGGATGCGAGATATGTCCGCGACTTCCTTACGCAGACATGGTCACGGTCATCTCATCCAACAGCGGGACGGTGATGATGGTAACTCCATCCATTCGCGGTTCGACCCCGGCCAGAGTAGCAGTGGAGGTGATCCTACGTCGCACACAGAGGCAGAGGAGTACATCTTCCACAGTTCTGCACCCTTCAGAACCCAGGAGGACGCATCGTCCAGCCAGCTCACTCCCCCCCTCGCGCCGGAACCCATTCACCACCATTCACCATTACACTCGGCGTCGTCCAAGACGAAGGGACGACAGTGAGGCTAGGGAAGGGTTACACCAAATTGATGAGTAGTGAACGTATTGTATCATTGTTTTGTCCTTTTTCCTGGAATGCTGCATATAACGATTGCATTATCAATATAAGACATGCTGGTTGAATGAATCTGTTTGTACTTTGAAGTTTTGTTTGCTTATTTATCCAAATCGGATTTATGTCAGTCAAAATAGATCCTTCAGGGCTAATGTACATTAAACAACAGACATTTGGAATCCATAGTCGAAAATGGGGAAGAAAGGATGGCCCGTGGTGGTTAATGTGGTTGTTCATGGTGGTTTTAGTGTTGTTGGTTGTGGTGGGTGGTTATCGACGGTTGTTGAATGGTTGGGGTTGGTGGTGGAGCTGGTTGAAGTGTTGTTGGAGGTCAAAAGTGGTGGCAGATGGTGGTCGATGGTGGGGGTTGTTGGTGGATTATGGTGGCAAGAATCATAGCAGGGGGTGGTGGGTGGGGGCAGAAGAAAGTGGCAGATCAGTGGCAAAAGGCTGATTCCGCTGCTGTTTTGCACACCAGCAGAGAAACGCTGTCCCAGACAGCGTTTTAGGTTGAAAATAAGACGTTGTCTGAGACAGCGTTTTAGGTACAAGGAAGTTTGTACATAAAGCGCTGTCTGGGACAGCGTCTTTGGTATAACTGTTTTTGTTTTTTAAAAACATTTTTATAAATAAAAGGCAATTACAAAAATTTTTTAAAAAAAAGGTCAACAACAAAGACGCTGTCCCAGACAGCGTTTTTAGGTTGATTTTTTTTAAAAAAAACTCAGGCATAAAACGCTGACCGAGACAGCGTTTTAGCCTGGAAATTTAGTTTGGTAAATACTTTTGCCACGCAACCATTTTGGTTAATATTTGCCAAAATTGGCTTACTTTGGAAAAACGTCCACAGTGCAATCATCAAATGCTTCTACTGTGGAATGAAAATCTATTATTATTAACCAAAAGATCTTTGAGATGCTTTCTTATAAATAAAAGCAGTCTCACAATAATAGCATAATCACTTTAATAGTTCAATAATAGTATAATCATAGTGACACATAATTGTTTGACCATTTTGTAATAACTCTATTCAACAAAGGACTAGCTAGGTACCTAACAAGGGTAAAATGAAGAAAAAGTTTGTATTTTCCATTTTCCCTTCTTATACTAAAAAAAGGATAAATTCGTCATTTAGCTGACTATTAGGTAGCTAACATGCCTAGCAATGACTCGATAACTATTATTAATAAGTAATAAGAATAAGGTGAATAGAACAAAATCTTTAAGTTGTGCTTAATGTAAGAAGCAATATCTCATGGACGATAAACAAATGCTAACATAACAAATTTGATTATATACAGACACAAATGCTGCAATGAAGCAGAAAATCAAGGCAAATGATCTGATTCATTACAAACTCTCCGCAAAATAAGCTTAAATGAATCAAAATCAAATGTACTCACTTAATCATTGAACCTAGAGTTTTAATTATTTTCTACTAAAAATGACTGATAAATACATAATTTTTGGTATTTGCATCATATTGTAAGACTTAGCTTACAGCATGATCATGCTTTACTTCTCTAATAAATTGAATCTTAATTAGTAGATAATTCCTCTATTTAGCTTTACTTGTTTGTGGGGTGTTTACTCGAGAAGAGCTTGCTTCTGATTCTAGGACAGCCCCTTTCAACACCTCTATAATTTCACTCATATTGGGTCGTTCTTCTGCTGTCTTGACCAAACATCTATCTGCTAACTTAGCTATTTTTCGGGCAGTGCTTAAGGGATACTGATTTCGAAGGCGGAAGTCCATCATCATGCTAAACATCTTACTGTCAGCTGGAAACTGTTTCACCCAGTCTAGCAGTTTCTGCTCTGAGGCTGGACGATTCCTCTCTATGGCTCGTCTACCAGTCAAGATCTCATAAAGTACCACCCCAAAGCTGTAAATGTCACTCTTTTGCTTTAAATGGCCCGTGTCAACATATTCCGGGGCTGCATATCCAAATGTTCCCACTGGCTGAAAGTTAATAAGCAAGACGTGTCTTCAGTTCAATTAATCCCAAAAAATTTAAAGTTTCATCATAATGTTTTAAGTAAACACTTTTCAAGTTTCAATATTCTAGAGGTTTCCATGTAATCTTCCTAAACTCGCCCATACCACAGGCCAGCCAATTTGATTTACTCTAACTCCCAAGGAAAGTTGGCTGTTAATATAGAACTCAGTGATAAATCTACACAAATTTATTATTAAGCTTCTGAATTAACATTGTAGCCAAAAAAAACTAGACTATTTACTTTAAAGGTTGGGGGTGCAGCACACAAGACTTCTGTTTGACAATTAGATTAAATAGAATAATATGTAAGTTTACGAATAGCAATAGAACTTACCGCTGTTGACACATGAGTGGCATCCCCACTCGGCCCTTCTCTAGCCATCCCGAAGTCAGATAACTTTGCGTTCATATGCTGATCCAAAAGCACATTCGAAGACTTAAAGTCTCTGAATATCACCTGACAACAACAACAAAAAGAAAAAGTTAGTGATTTAGTCCAACATCAACTGACCAGTAACACTTAACTTTTGTTTTCAGCTGAGTCTGCCCATACTCCGGATAACATAACAGACAGTAGAAATGGAAGGCCACGCATCAACCTCCATGACATTGTGTTTTCAAGCTGAATGAGTACGTCAGTCTTAGATTATACCACAATAATTCATTTATACAAATTACTAGTATATATTTGATCATCAATTGGTAAGTTCAGAAGGTTTAATTTATCAGATGTACGAAGTATTATCACATTATGCACTAGCACAGGCGGCTCATTAGGCTTTCTCAAAGTTGTATGCAGATTCAGACAGATAAATTTACATATAGACATAGCAATAATAAAATCTCTTGATTTGACTCGAACACTAAGGAAACATAATCAGTTAAATGCTGCTACTCTAAGACACATAACAATATAACATTGCAGTATTGCACCAGCAGAATGATCGAAATATTACCTGAACTTCGATTCCATCGTGCAGATAACTCAATCCTTCGGCAGCATCCAACATTATCTGTAACCTTCTTATCCATGGTAGAGCAGGAAAGTTTTTCCCAAACAAATGGTGTTCCAAACTTTTATTCTGCATATATTCATACACTAACAGCCTCTGAATTCCTCTTTCTCCATCTACAGCACAATATCCTAAAAGCTTTACCAGCTTAGGATGATCAACAACGCCGAGGAATTGAACTTCAGCAAGAAATTCTTTGTGGCCCTACATTGGTTCACCAACACAATTCAATGCCAGGAAAAAGAGCTACCATTCTATGAACATTGTCAAACAATCACAAGATCGAAATCCTGCCTCGAAACAAATTTAAGCACATGATTTTAATATAAGTCTAAGCAAGAAAATCCGACAAAAGGGCAAATGCAAAGTATACAAAATCAGATAAGAGGGCATTTAAAGATAGAACAAAACAACAAAGATATCGACACACAGATTTACGTGGTTCACTAACAATGCGACGAAAACAATAAAAAGGTTGTATTCAGTGAATACCTGCATGCCATATCTGTTAAGCTTCTTAATAGCAACCACAATAGGATCACCCTTGCCATTAATAGGCTTAATTGTACCTTTATAAACACTTCCAAAACCACCCTCACCAACTTTCAACAACTTGTTGAAATCATTTGTAGCTTCTCTAAGCTCATTATAAGTGAAAACCCTCAAATTATGTTGCTTCTCTCTATATAATTCTGGTATACTTCTTGATGATGAGGCTGAATTTGCCGATTTTGATACTCGATTATTTGATGCATTTGAAGGATTTTGATTTCTTAATTCAGGAGCTGAATTTGATTGCTTCTTTTCTTTACCCTTCCTCTTGAATGAGGTGAAACAATTCATCTTTGAAATTTTTAGAAATAACCTCTCAATCAACACAATTTTCATATAATTGTTGATTGAACTTTTTTACATCACACCCATGTTTTTTTTTTTTGAAAAAAATAGTTCAGAAAAATGGAAAATTGAGAAGACTCAACTGAGCAAACTTGAAATTGAGAAAAACCCAGTTGAGGAAAAAAAAATGAAATTATCAGAAAAAACCAGTTCAGAAATAATGAAAATTGGGAAAAACCCAGTTGAAATTTTGGTCCAAAATTTGTGAGAAAATAACAAAACCTAGATCAAAGTAAACAGAAGCAATTTCTGGGCACTTAAAAAATATAAGTTGAAGCTAAGAAATGAAAAAATACAATGAATTTAGCTTGATTTTAGTATAATACAACCAAAGTACAAAATTTTGAGGAGATTGAGGTAACCCCAATTAAGAAATTGGTCAAAAAAATGTGGCAAAAAATAAACCAGATGAAATTAAACAAGTAAAAGGAAAAAAATTGTGTAATAAACTATACTTGAAGTTCTAAACAGAAAAAATTTCTGGGAATATAAAAGGAAAAAAAAAAAGGTGGAAAGCTCTGAAAAAAAAAATTTGAAAGGAGAGAATTTTCTTGTCTAAGAAAATTGTCACACCTTTAATTTTTTTTTTTTATTGTAGTGATGTTGGTCCTAATCTTAATGTAACAAAAATGATATCCAATTAAATGATAATACAAATAATTTAATAAGTACCAAATGTGAAAGCAGCTGAAAAATTCCACGATGTAGAAGGAAGGAAACAGGGGAAAGAGAGAGGATAGAAGAAAGTATACCAAAAAACAGGGGAAGAAAATAATAAAATATTGACCATTGATGACGATTTGTTGAATAAAGAAGAAGAAAAGATCAAAATATAAACAATTTTATTTGTGTTTTTTTGGATGTATTTCACAACTGTTTTTGAGATCAATTAAAAACATTCACACAGACAAACAACAAAAAAAAAATCATTCAACTTTAAAGGTTTTAGGTAAGTAGGTAACCATTTGTCCATTTTACTATTTCATCTCATCACAGTAATCAAACACATACATTTATTATAATATATATATATAAAAGGAAACAAAAAGTTTGAAAGGTAATAAAGCCAATAACAGTTTAGAATTTACGAAATATTCAATAAAACCGCGTTTTATACGGAGTATGAAAATTCAGTTTGAATCGCTATATCACGTGCTTTTTTTTAAGGGTTCGTTTGGCATTGCTTTGATTTCCGGTTTTTTTTTTTCGTTTTCTAAAAGTATATGATATGAGTCCCATAATGAATCAAAAATTATATAAACTTATTAAAATTATGATAATTTTGAAAACTGACAACTGAAAAGTGGAAACACCTTTTTCTTGTTTCCTGTTTTTGGTTTTTGGTTTTCAAAAAAACAGGAAATTGAAAGCCAAAACTGTTGCCAAACAAACCCTAAGTTTTCAGTTTAATTTTTCCTTATGACCGATTTTCCCTTCATTTGCAACAAACCAAAAAAAATTTTTAAAAAAAAACAAAAAAACAATAATAGCAAAAAATAAAATAAAGTAAATTTCAAGTATGTGTTTTGTTCACCTTATTAAACGTGAAATTATTGGAATCAAATTTATCTGGATTTATTAGAACTTATCTGAACTCATAAGACCTATAAAACTTATTGATTATATTAAAATTATTGGAACATATTAAAAAAAAAATTAATGCTGAATAAAATTTTTACTTCCTCTGTCCCTTATTGATAGTCTCATATGGACAATTTTCACAGGAATTAATAAACATAAATAAGAAGTAGTAAAAAGTGCAATGAAAAAGTAAATCTATATTGGATATTCAAAAAAGTAGAGAGAAAGTAATAAAAGTACACTAAAAAAACAAAATTTACATGGAAAAATTTAATTTGCACAAATATTGTTGCAAATTAGAGAGAATTTTGGTAAAAAAAAATTAATATTAATGGTACATGGGAAAAAAAAAAGACTATCATTTGGGACATAAAATTGACCTAAGGAACTACTCGTATTATAAGGGATGTAGGGAGTAGGGAGATCTTATTATTTTTTTATTTTTTTTATTATTATTTTATTTTTATAAGATGACAGAATAGTTCTTTTTTTTTTTTTTTTTTTTTTTTTTTGAAGACAGAGTATAGTGTAATTAAAGAGAAGTGTCTCAATGGCTATGAGCTAAAAGCATCCACAATGGCTAGCTACATGTACATGTAGCTAAGGGTTGCTACATCATTATTTCGCAAGCTACATGATTTAAGCTATAAGCTCTACGACAAGCTATTTCTTTTGTAATTTTATTATGTCCCTTATAATGACAAGATATATATATATATATATATATATATATATATATATATATTAACAAATACATAAAATACACGGAGTATTAAACAAATAAATATAATAGCATTCACTAGAGTAAACTATATAGAAATTGCTAACAAATCCTTATGCATAACCATTGTAGATTTGTAGATGTCATATGAGTAGGTTTTGAAAAATAAACCGTGGTAATTGGGATCTTCTTCACCAATACTTCACGTGTGGACCCTAAAGTTTTTATGTTGGTTGTCATTATCTAGTCATAACTCTACTAATGGTCTTTATCAAGAGCAAGATTGCCAAGATGATCACATTATTTTCTTTTGTATGCTATTTATTATGGAGTAATTATTACATTTAATTATTTTGATGGTGTATAGTGTATTTGATGTTATTTTCGCACTCGTTTTCATTTGCTCATCAAATAGTCCAACATCACTTGGGAAAATAGTCATGGCTGCATCACAAAACTTATTTGTTTTTCAATTACATGACTGAAATACTCAAAGTCGAGTTTTACTCGAAATTATATATTCTAATCTAATTTAAGGCTGCCTAACTCATACCAAATGTAAATTTGTCGTATTAATTTATAACATGCTAATTGAAAATAGACAAGATTTAAGGACTTATTCTTTTTGCTTGAAACAAGTAAATTTGGTCTGAATTTTTAAAGGTATGATCTTATTTGAACTTTTCTTATCGGGTCTGGTTTGATCTTATTTAACAATTTGACTAAAGGTTAACCGCATTTTAATACTAATCTATATTAAAAAAAAAATCAAAATAGATCTTGTTGGATTCGCCTCATGAACTTTTTAAAATATTTAATTTTTATATATAAAAAAAATTAATGCGCAATAAACGATATTTAACGATAAGTAAATGATAATAAAAAGTTCTGATATAGTCTGATCTGAATCTTTTAATTTGGTCTGATCTGATCTGAATTTATTAAAGAATAAGCAATAAGTATCTAAATTAAGTCGAAGAGAACAAGTTCTAACTCAAATTTTCATCCAATCAAAAAGTTGCAACAATGGTAGATTTGGAAATTTTTTTGGGGATATAGTCAGCTAAATTAACTTATTTTCTCTGTTGACACACATTGACTTTTTTCAAGGGTATAAATTTTGTTACGTAATGTTAATATATACGAGTTAAATCTTTTATCAGGCTTTAACAAAAATTAAAATACAATTATTATAATATAATTTTTTATTTATTAGCACAAAGCATATGTCAATTAAATTTCTAAAATTTTAAAATACAACATTACTTCTTATTTATGTTTTACGAATACATGTTAATAGTCGTTACTTTCATAAGGGTATTTTTTATTTTTGAAGAGGAAAAAACAAAAAATAAGTTTTTTTTAATGAGAAAATATATTACTTCGCAGATGAAATTTCTTACTTGCTTAAAAGATCATACATTACCACTAATATAAAATGAATAAAAGATTATAGTTTGCACCAAAATAATTTACTAGTAATTGTTTTACAGATAGGACTCTACCTATGAATTACCCATGACCTAATTACCTAAAGCCTAGCAGCACAACTTTCTAGTTTCTACAAGTAAGAAGTAAGCAGAGATCTGAATTTAAAAAAAAGAACTAAGCATAGATTCATAGAACTCTTTTTCTGGATCAGCGTGACCTAATCACATGATCCATTATGACATCACTAACACCTTTCACCAATCACACCAATTACTGTATAGTTAAACAACGTTGTTAATCATATTAATTATTGTTAATCATGTTACTTGTTCAAGTTGTGTTTTTCTTTATCTCCTTAAACAGCAAATAAAAGATAAAAGGAACATAGACCAAGAGTCCAAGACCATGTGAGGCATCCACAAGACCACAAGATATAATACTCAAATAATTCACATTATTGTTCACGAGTTGTACTAATCTAAAAAGAGGCCACTATCCCTTTATGATTATCCGTAGTCCTATAGCCCAGTTTACACTTTATTAAAATTCGGCAGAAGTAGTACACACGGGAAGAGAAAGAGATAGCAGATGGGTATGCATACCAGCAAAGAAAGTATGGGACAAATTCATAGAAACACTTCGAAATGGTATATGTAGCTATCTATTGGGGTCGGAAGAAGTAATAATTACTCCCTCTATCCCCAATTGTTTGCCCCAAACTACAAATTTACTTTATTAAGGTTTTGGGCAAAAAAAGGTGCACATGGATTGACACAAATATCAATGAGGAGAGAGATAGAGAGAGTGCAAGTGGGAAAACATGCCAAAAGTAGTATGGGACAATTTTTTGGAGACACCTTAAAAAGGAAAGTGGAGCAAACAATTAGGGACACAGGGAGTAAGACTTAAACAGCTAGTTTTAAAACAAAAACTCATTAAATTAATTGTAGTCTCTCATAGGTACATAAAATCCGACAAAAGTCGAAACAACAGAAAGGTGGAAGTATAAAAAAAAAGTTGTGGGGAAGAAAGAATTTAGGTATGATTATACAAAGGTTGCGAGTCATGTGTGAACGTGCAGTTTAGTCATATGAAAATGACAAACTTTCACGCTAATACAAACATAGGATTACAGGAATAATTAATATTTTGACAGCATCACTTACACTGAACCCTACAAAAGAAAGTTTGTTGATGTATGCTGGAATATATTCTTGGCAAGTTGTTAAGTAAGGCTCCAAATCAAATATATTACAAAGGCCAAAGTACCGCCAATATGAACATATTCTTGACTAAATTACTCGGGTTCCGAAAAGACCTTGGTGCAGTCAAAGTCTTTCACACGGCTCATAAGATAGCAAAAGACCAAAGTAAGAATCCTAGGAAGCATCTTCTTTGGTAGGAACTTCAGTTTGGAAATGAAAGCAGTCTTCGTGATTGAGCCGGTGGAGCTAATCCAGGAATATCTCGGATGTCTTTGTTGTGTGGGTTTATAATCTGAAAACAATTTATGTATGCAATGTAAGTTCACATGTTTAAACTTTTAAGTTGGAAATATGTATGAACATGATACAAAGACTTGGCACTTGCAAGTAACAAGTAACAACTAACCAAGATATCCCTAAACAGAAGGCAAGGATGCAGATGGAAAACCAGTAAGATTAAAAAGTACATAACCTTAGAATGGATAATAGGAAGTTTCTTTTTTAAAAGGCTATTGAATGTGGGTGTGTGGTCATCTCTGGTATGTGCAACCACAAGATTGCAAACTGCTGCCACCATAATTTTTTCCAAACTACCATTATCCCCTACTAAGTCCCAACCTCTCTCTCTCTCTCTCTCTGACTCTAAGCTCGGTAATTTGGGGAAACTATTATTTTTAAAGGGTGAAGTAACCAAAAGTACTTAGTAACAGCCCCCTACACAACATAATCCATTTTTATGCACAACTACATTAAATAAATCAGAGCTAGTACTATATACAAGTTGATTGCCAATTTAATTCAGTTAAAGGAATCATCAAACCTCAAGAATCACATAATAAATTCAAAATGGGGGAGGTAACAACTCTTAACAACAAAGACATTTTTGTCCCCAAACTTCAGCCATAATTAAGCTCAAAGTCAAATTGATGATAGCTAAAAGCAAGCTAACAAAAGCAAACAGCAAAGTTTGAAACGCTAATAAAGATCCAGATAACAGGGAAAGCAATTTAAGGTTTCTTTCATTCAGATCAAAATCAGAGGGGGCATAGCATGTAAAGATTTGTGCTGAAGAAGAGGTAAAGGAGCATGATAACCTACATTGCTTGGGTAGGCCAGCAAGAGACTAGCTACTTTTGTCACTATATAGTACGGAACCATGATAAGGACAGTGCTAAGTAGGGTTTTCTGCGCATATAAATATCAATTAAAAGTCTATTGGAGTACTAATTAAACTCCTTAGAGAACCATACAGAAGTGGGTGGGGTAATTCAATTGATGACGAGACAAAGGCTGTCAGACCGCTTGATCTTAATTTTCTCATTATTGGTTGACCACATCGGCACATTCTCTGAATTTGAACTGGGGTTCTGGGAAGACTGAAGATTATTATATTCTGTATTTCAAAAACTGTTACAGCCTATTCCTTGCATTCTCTATTTTGAAATACTTCCGAATATGATAATCTTGAAATCTGACAAGTAAAAACCAGAAGCTGTTTCTGGTTTCCATATTCTTGTTTACACTTGAAAAATAACATGGGCAAACATCGAAACATGTGAAAACGATGGAAAGAAAATTTGCAGTTAAGATCCTATGCTAAGTAGTTAAAGATCTAAAAATCAAGTTGTAATATAAGTTTTCTTTCTAAAGAACTTCACTCCAAGTAACAACTCCTAGAGTCTAATCATTTTTTTGGGAATAAAGACGAAACCACCAACATAATTAACATTATATATAGGATAAAAGTAGCCAACCTTCGCAATGATGATGGCTATGACTCCAAGCACTATGAGGAAAAGCAAGGCCATGATACATTTATCAGTAGCAACCTGTAGAAAGTTGGAAGGGTAAGTAGCCATAACGCATCCAACATAATCAGTCAAAGAAATAAGATGAGTGTTGAAGAGACCTGTCGACCGATTTCCTTGACTAGCTTCGAAGCTTTCTTGATCGAGAAATTTATGGAGTCCAGTTCATTAACAATCCTACTCATTTGATCAGTCTGCAACACTCCCAGAGGTTATTGCATTATATTTCATGCATGAGATTCTTCATAAAGAATCTCAAAAGGAATGGATAGAAGTTAAAGCTCCATTTCAACCCCAATAGAAACTTCAACTATGTTACATACCTGGGCTTTAAGAGCTTCTGCAGTTTCTGTTCCTACATTAATTGTCTCGTGAACAATCTGCCTCAAACAAATGAAAATATTAATTATGCATATGATTAACTAGAATAGTCGAGAATGTTAAGAGTATGGAATCCCATGTATGATATGTATATTGCACTGACAATGCAGAGTGACAGATGAAAGACATGATGATAGACGAGCATTATTTTCACATTAAACTCCACTATATTAAAGTTATTAACAGGACCTTCTGGATGTAAACTTTACATGTTAATTTCATAAAGTTTTAGAATCATTTTCAGAACACACAAAGTTTCTCCGATTCCTTTAAAAGCAAACTGTAACAATTCACATTTTGAGCTGCATTATTATTCAGATTAGGTAGAAGTTTTTCAAATTCCTCATGGATATGCCCATAAGAGTGTGATCAGACAAAACAGTTTGGTTCTAAATCTGAGATTAAAATGCAAAAAGTTAATCACCAAACCTTTTTTCCTCTATCAATGGCTTGATCAGTTTCATCCATCATTGTGTTTCCACGATCCATCAGCTGCTCATTTGTCATAGCTGCATAATGCACAACCAAGGTTACAAATGCATAAATGATACATGAACTTACAAAAAATTTATAGGACGAACAATCAAGAGAAAGGTAAACACAAAAAAGAAATTGCCTCAAAAGAGAAGAACTAAAAATTATGGAGTCAAAGGTTTACTTTTGTCCATGATCAGTTATTATATGTGAAGATATGTATGTGTTGAATGTTTTTAATCAAAATGATTGACAAATTTCTTACTGACATCAAATAAATGAAAAAATGGAGGATACTGTTTTGCACAAGCTAAATATAAACTCATAATTATTAGACTTAAAAGTTGATGTATTTCGCATATAAGATATAAATACATGAAAAGGACGTAGTCCAATGCCTGTTGGATTCATAAAGCTCTAAGTCATAACTCTTGATAGTAGAACAATGATGAGAAGTTGAGAATAACAAAGGAAGCCACAGCGGCACAGCCCACCAGAAGCCACATGCCAATAACAGTAGTTAAAGATTACAGCATTTGCTTACTGGATGCTAACAAAACATTTTCCTCTCCTACCCCTTCGCTAGGCCCATCAAATAGTTCAACTCGTTTATTTTCAAGATTGGAAGCATATCTGTTCACAAATTTAAATCCAAGTCAGTTATTAAAAGGCTGAATGCACAGAGATTTAACAGCATCTGAACAAGTACAAAAGTGCAGAAAACACCATGACATTGTAAGAATCCTAATATAAAATTCAAAAAAAGAATAATAAGAAAAACAGAATTGAAAGCAAGGTGTTTGCCAAGAACAGGTATATGAGATTTCAATAACCCTCACAAAAAGGGAAACAGAAAAGATATGGAATGTTACAGACTTACAGATGCAAATATATTAAATAGAAATACTTAGCATGTTGCTCATTTTATAATAAGCATTTGGTCATGGCCTAATTAATGAGCATTGCTACACAAAGCTACACCCAAGAATTTTTTTTATATATTTTTTTCACTCATGCTTTCCAATACAAGAAAAGCGGAAATTCAAACTCAAAACAAAAACCTAAGGATTATGGGCATCATGTCTGTAAACAATAAATCAATTAAATTAACAACCTACACATACAAATAAAAAGTTCCCTCCATTATATCAGTCCACGAAGCAATAAATTCTAGCATTACAGAGCATATTTTCAAAAGAAAAGATAACTTATCAGATAATTCCACTTTATTGCGTTGTGCTTTCAGTAATTCTACTTTGATACCCTAAGCCTTTGAAGTTAATTTCACTATGGTGTTCTTTAGTTTGGTAATTCCACTTTGATGCCCTTTGGTTTGGTAATTCCACTTTGATGCTCATTTTTGTAACTTCTTTAGCCTTATTTATTTGTAGGGGAAACAAAATTGCTATTTATCAGTCTCATAATTAAAAAAATTCATGAGATGGTTTATGTTTATTTTGTTTTTGACAAGGATGACTCTGTTTTTAGGAAATTTCCCATGTCTAAAAAAATAGTGGAGGTAATTGTTTATTGAAAAGTAAAAAATGTGATGAGAGAAAAAATAATATTAACAATAAATTTAAAAAGTAGTAGTGAATATATGTGTGTGGAGACCATGAAATGAGAGATATATAATAATAAAATGTAGAGGTTTTCCAAATAAGGAAATGTAACACTTAAAAAAAAGGAAGTAGTATGAACAAAATTTGATTTTATTTATTTACGGAGAAGGAAAAACAAAAAAGGTAATATGTATAGATACCATGAAATAAGAGAGAATGAAAGATATAATAATAAAGTGTAGAAGCTTGCCAAAAAAGGAAGTGTAACACTTATAACACTTAAAAAAACAGAAGTTGTATGAACATTTATGGAGTAATAACTAGAGAGAGAGAGAGAGAGAGAGAGAGAGAGAGAGGTCAGATTGAAATATAGAGAAAGAAATTGGGGAATTGAAAAAGAACTTCAAGAAATAGGTTTGAATTATAGAAAGATTTGATGATAGTTGAATGTTGTTCAATGAATTGAATTGGTTGGTTGGGGGACTTCATTAGATTTGGTGAAAATAATTAGATTAATCGAGTTTATGAATTGAATTGAATAGAAGAGCTTTTTTTTTCCTTACTTCGATACTTTTTTTTTTAATTCCTTATAATGAAATATGACTAAAGAAAATAATTTTTGTTCCAAAAATGAACATTAATATAGTTTCAGGTCATCAAAATGAAGAAAAGTATAAAAGTGGAATTATCAAACCTCACGGCACCCTTGTGAAACAAAATTTAAAAGTTCAAAGCAACAAAGTGGAATTAGAGAATCTATAGGGCACCAATGTAGAAATTTTCCTCAATGGACATGATAAGTAGGCAATTCAATTATCAAACCTCACGGCACCATAGTGAAACAAAAATTTAAAAGTTCAAAGCACCAAAGTGGAATTAGAGAATCTATATGGCTTAGACGGTAATTTGATCCTACTATTAGAACTTCCCCTTCCTTTAGATTGACATGTTATGTTAATGGATACACTAACACATGGCGATGAGATGTTAACAGTCAATGTACTTTCAGATTTTAACATTCATTTCTATTTATGTTATGATTCTTATAAGATACTTTCGAGAAGGAAAAAAATGGTTCAATCACTCTCAGCAATCTACATTCACACTTCTTCATGTAATAATGTAATTAGTGTCAGGTGGCAATAACTCAGGATGAGAAAGTAGGGGACTGTTTCAAAAATTCAAGATGGCAAAACGATTCATATTTTATTAAGGTAACCTATGATCATATTATTAGTAAAATCAGCTCTCTTTTCACATGTTAATGCAATGCTGTTATCAACTAAAACAAGCATATAAAAATGAGTGCGAGAAAGGACACACATTAAGGTATTTGATATTTAAATTTATATTTCTGATAGTTATGTGAAGAACGGTCATAATAACGTAAAATAATTCGACTTACTGCTTTTTCAAAGCAACATATGAATTCAGCTCCTTGATCTGCAAAAAACCATCAAAAACATAATCAGTGCTTAAGGAGTGAAGCTAAGAAGATCCACACCGAAAATAAATGCTTCGTGATAAAGATCACCAAATAGAGAGGAAAAGTAAAAACAAACCTTAAGCATCGAAACAATGTTTAGGGTTAGTACTTCATCACAACAATGTACATTAATACCCCTCCCTATTCACAATTTAATAGTGAATTTCCCTAATTAAACACTACTTTTTATACCTTCACCTGTTATCTAACCAAATATAAACATCAATTCTTGAAACTACTTTATTTTAGAACATCTAACTATCTAAGACCAAAACACTTATGCTTTAACATTAAAGAAACATAAGTAAAGATGTCTAACCATAGACTGTTTTCTCTCATTCAATGTCTTGCTGGTGTTTGGATCATTCCTGCTTTCCAAATTCTTCACCTCTCTATCAAACTCTTTAATAAGCCTGAGAAAATAAAAAATCAGCTTCAGTTGAGCAAGAAGGACTAAAAGGAGGCAAAGCCCATAAGACTCATTCTTTAAGCATTGGCACATCATTACCATCAGCTAAACTTCATTTAAGAAAGACAGGTTACAGACTAACACAGAATGCACATTTATTATTAATGAATGCAAGATTCAGCCAAGTTCACCATCAGGCTCATTAAGCAGTTATCCTCCTCACAATTCACCCTGAATTTGAATAATCAAGTTTATCCACAACACTTATGATCTAGATGCTAGCTGCTGGAGAGTTGTGAAAGCAAATACGGAGTATACGTATTTGTGCTCATCATGCATAAAAATCTCATAAAACCAAACTGCTAATGCCATCTGTTGATGATAAAACTGTAAGTTTTTTGTATGAGCCAACAACACCATCAGGTTCGACAAACCAATGGTGAAAAGAAGGTTACATTGTAAGAATAGTTCGTGGGATGCATGCTATTCTTACTAGATGAAAGAAATACAGATTGCCCATATGGAAAAGAAACTTCAGACAACTACCTTTTACACTCTCGCATCTTATCCGTGAGCTCTTCCAGTTGCCTGCTCTGTCTACTGGAATCCTTGATCTTCTCCAACTTTTGAAACCCATTTCTGTTTCAAAGATATAATCAAACAAAAATTTGACACAACTGTTCATTGCTAACTACATCTATAACTCTATATAATCAACTTAATTTCATTGAAACTGAATAGATGAAAGACAACCACAGACACAGGACATGCGTAAATAGATCAGCAAATGAATATGCAGCCAGTTAATTGATTTCTAATATTTTAACGCAGTCATACCAAGTGATAGTATAAGCAAGAACATTCCCTAATATGCATTTGAAAAGTTGCTGGTAGCAGAATTCTCAGGAAAGGAAGAACTAAAAGTGTTTCATTCCAAAAGTTGTATACCAGCCCAAATGCAACATATCAGCAGAAACATGTTGATTTGCAGCTTTCAACACTAACCATCCTCAAGTTGCAAATGACCAATACGCATCAGTTTTTACAGTCAAGGCGAAAAGAGACATGTGCAGGCTGATAAGTCCAATATGATTAATACACGAATCATGCCACATTAACCACAACTCTTGATGCAACAATAGAATTAAATATGCTTTAACTGTGCATCATCATTACTGCAATCGATCCAAGATTTTAAATTATTTGTTGATTCCATATTACCTTAATTCCACTTGAATGATTAAAGCACACGCACGGGTGTCTTACGAGCAGTAAAGAAAACAAACAGACACTAGATTTTGTTACTTGGAAAAGCAATTCACTTCATTTGAAATCACTTTCCTAGTAAAAATTGTCACTACCACTCTCCCCTCTCCCTCTCACCCAATAAAAAGCGAAAGCTGGTAAGGCTCAATTCATCAAGTTTTCAAGAATATTCGCCACTTGGATATCAAAAGGCTTTCATCCTTGAAAAGTCAAGTAATTCCCCCTAAACAGTTGGCAACCATGTGCTCCATCAAAGCTAATTATAACGTAGAGTAATTAGCTCCAATCGAAAAATGGCGAAAATTCATCCCTATTCAGCATTTTTAGCAATACATTTTTCCAGAATCTAACTAACACTATACAAATCTGTCTGCATAAGCTTATTACAGTATATACAATACACATCAAATTATCAGGCAATTGCAACTCGTAAGCAACGAAAACGAAGCACCAATCAAATCTCCGACACTCATACTAGATGAATCAAAAGACAGCTTAGAACAATTCACAATGCATAAACTTATCAACTAAGATTATTTAAACAAAACATAATAAACTTCGCAAAATTAAGGAAAAAAATGACATATATCTTACGATAATGCACGAAAAATATCATTGATTTGTCCGTCAATCTCGCCGAGCTCCTCGCTAATCGCCGACAACGACGACATTGTCAAATTCCTCAAAATGTCAACTCGTTTCTCCTCTTTCTCTCTCTTACTCCGCTGTTCGTCGAATCAAATGACAAACAAATGTTCAACAAAAATGCAGATTATCTCGCCATTGTTGATCAAACTAAAATTCGAGCAATGATGAATGTCAAATTTTCAAAAAATTGAAGCGGCAATTGTAAACTAATTGAATCTGATTGTGCAGGAAAAATTGAATTTTGTGTTGGTGGACCAAAAATTGGGGAAAATTTAGGATCAAAACAATGTAGGATTTGGAAGATCGAAATCTAGGGTTTTGAAGATCTAATCGTTGCGTTGTAATAATAATTTAAGGACACAGAATTTGGAAATGGAGAAGGTGTTTTTCTCTCTCCTGTTTTCCTTATGTTGTTTTGTGCTGGTCTAATTTCCATTGATTTTCAAGCTATTTTCTATAATTTGTTATTTACTCCGTAATACTTTTATTTTTTTATTATTATTTATTTTTTAAATTCATTTTGTTGGAGCGAGAATTGGGCCGATTAATCCGTTGTAGAGTGCTGCAGCAACTTAGCGAGTAGTGAGCAGTGACTATTGTGTAGACCCATTAGTCCATTACTACTAGCCTATTAGGTCCAATTAGTCTAAGGTGCACCCTTGTGCACCTTAGATAGGTGTAACAATGCAGCCCAAAAACCTAATTACACACAACCCAATTAAAAAAAAAAACCCTAAAACTAAAAAACACGGAAACAACAATACAACCACTCATACCCAATACACCCACCCTCACCCAATAAATGTAACGTCACCTCCAAACTCAATACTTTTTTCTTCTATATGATTTTCTCTCTCCTCTTTTTCACTTTCTCTCTCCTCTATTTCATTTCCTCAGTAAAAAACTGCAAAAACATTAATGGACATTAGAGAAGAGATGCAAAATCAAAAGGATCCTCCCTAAAAAAAAAGCAATTTTATGTAAATTTCACTTAATTTTGTTTAAAATTATATGATTATCACTTAATTTTGTTTGAATATTTATTCGATACTCTCGATTGTTCGAAATTTTTATTGAAATTGTCAAAAAAAAATTAGTGAAATCAAACGGATACCTTATGTTCACATTGCGAAATGTATATGTTCATATTTTAAATTCTTATGTTCATGTTTTGAATCCTTTTGTAAACTTTCTGAAATGCTTATATTCACTTTCTTAATTCATATGTTCATATTTTTTATGTATATGTTCACCTTCTGAAATACTTAATTATGTTCATACGCATTCAAAAATGAACCAATGCACATGTTCATATTTTTAATGCATATGTTCATATTTTGAATGCATATATATATATTCATATTTTTAATACTTATGATGCATATGTTTCATAATCATATTAATTTTTTTTTTATTTTTTTTTGAACGGCACTCGGGAATATTATTAATCACACCAAAACAAGATCTGCCAAGGCCATTAAACCTTGAGGAAAAGAGTCAAGAAAAATAAACTCCGACCCACTAGGAGGGAGTAACCTCGCAGCGAAGTGTGCAACTACATTACCACTACTTCTAACATGATTAATACTAAAGAAACTAAAATTGTTCCCAATAGCCTTAATGTCTTCAATAACAAGATCAAAGGGGGATCTCCCCACCCGTTGCTGCTTGATGGCTTGCACCACAACAGAGGCATCACCTTCCAATTCCACATGGTTGAGCTCAAGAGATTGGCCCACAAGCAGCCCCCACCTAACTGCCAACGCTTCAGCAAGCTTGACACTGAATTCCCCATAGCATCTCTTCACTCCGGCAGCGATCATATGCCCAGACGAGTCCCTGATCACCACACCTAAGCCCACCCCCACACCTTCCAACATTGCAGCATTGATGGGCGTTAGAACGGTCGTACATTCCACACTCAATCAAACACATTTATTAACAAACACCTTACAAACCAAGCATAATGACAAGTAAGAGTTCGGTCCACAAGGAACAGGATATGATTGCCAAAGATCTTTACACTTAAGCTAACTCGAAGTCAATTGGTGAATTGGGGTTCGTCAAGAAGACAAACAAACTATGGTTCTAAATCAATGAATTAAAGATACTAGGGAATGAGATCCACTCAACCAAGGCAAATAGGCAAACGGGGAGTAAAATAGACAAGATATAGCAAGGACTATATGTAAAATCAACCTCATGCAATTAGAAAACAACTCACACTACTAAACTTAGATTCCTCATTAGTTTAGCAATAGATGATACATAATCAAATTACAATAAGTAATGACGTACTCAATTTACACTTCCATGTCAAATTAGGCATATCATACTATCAAGCTCCTTAGTCAAGGGTAGCTAAACCTATCATGAGGAACTAACAAGCAATCTCATATAATCAATTTAATTGCAATACAAACATCAATGCTTCTCCCACATTTGCATAGTTAACCCAAAAGGTCGAGCTTCACCCAACCCCTAGCAAGAAAACTACTCACAACTCATGTTTATCAACATGCAATCAAGAATTAGGGTTCTAAATACTTCAATAATTGGGGAAAAGTGGTTAACAATTGAAATAACTATCATCCAATAACAAATTACCAAGAACTAAGAAGATTTAAATAACATGCAAATACCAAATAAAATCTGAAATTAAAAGGAAGAAGGTTGGAGAAATTACTAATTGAAGCTTCAAATGTTGAATACAAATTGCCAAACTTTGAGAATAATTCTTGAATTTCACTAATACAATGATTTGATTTGATGAAAACTAAGCTAAATTAATCCTAAGGAATGTTTCAAACTAAGAGAGGTTTCTGAAAACTAGGCTACTGTCCTCCTTCTCCTTCTCTTTTAAACGATCTCAAAAGGACCTTAAATAGTCCGTACAAAATTGGCTGAGATCGGGAAAAGGTCCGACCGAACTCTGGGTAGGTTCGGTCGGACTCAGGGTAGGTTCGGTCGAACCCTGTGTAGGTTCGGTCGAACCTCCCTAATCCTTGTTTGGTCGAACTTTTGAGGTTCGACCTCTCCTGCAAAATTGCTGAAAACTGGTTTGACACTGCCTTCACTGCACCCTGGAGGTTCGGTCAAACTTTTCAAAAGTTTGACCACACCAAGGTTCGACCGGACCTTTCAGAGGTTCGGCCACACCTCCTCTTGCACTTCCTTTTCTTGCTTCCTCTCCTTCCCTTTTGCTCCTCTTGCCTTTGTCCATGGCTTCCATACTTGGCCAAGGGGCCTCCCACCGTGCATAGGACCGTCACGGAACCTGCAGAAGATACCAAAGTTCACGAGAGCATGGGGATGATAAAATAATGCATAAAGATTATCAAAATAAGCATTACTTTTCATCAACACAAAAAGAAGCCATAAGAGGATAATGAGGTGGAAAAACCTAAGAAAAATAAGAGGAAAAAGACCTAAATACTACCCCTAAGAGTGACATAAATGTCACTCATCAAGCATCAACATTAATCTTTATCCCATCTGCAGGAGCCTGCCAACTACTCGGAGAGCTCTGAATGCTAGCACGAGCACACCCCACTGCCTCGTTGTATTTTTTATAATCACCAACTAGCTTCAAGTATCCCACAGCACCACTCATCACACACTTCCATGGATTGTTTAACACAACCGAGTTACGATATGACCAAGCAGCCCACGCAAGGGCACAAACTGACAGTAGCTCCTCCTTGTTCAGTTTAGAGTTCATCCAAAGAAAAAGCTCCTTAAACGAAGTCTTCGGTGCATCAAGCAAGATGTTATAATGAGGAGATGGTTCCCAAATCAGTCTGGCATTTGGGCAATCGAAAATAGCATGACAAATTGTTTCTGGTGCTGCATTGCATAGCTCACAAACTCCATTATCTCTCACATGTCTTCCCCTGAGCCTCTCCAAGGTTGCAAGGGAACCAGAGCAAGCACGCCACAAGAATTGGCAGAGCTTAGGAGATCCTTTAACACTCCACACCAACTTCCAGACAGCCTCATGATCAGCCCCGAACTGCAGCTCCCATCCTCTTACATGCCCCAACCTTCCCAACCAATACCCCGATTTGGTAGTGTAAACACCATTCTCAGTCGGCCACCAAAATCTGGTGTCCTCAGGCAGCCTGTTACTAAGAGGGATGCTACGGATATTATTTTTTATTTCTTCAAGTTTTTTTGTTCACAATTAAATGCCTTATATTCATTTATATTCATAATAATATTTTATATGTTCATAATGTATATATTCATAGTAAATATTTGTTGTTCATAAATATTCTCATTAAGTCTGTTTATGCATATGTTCTCTTTTTTAAATGCATATGTTCATATTTTTTTACGCATATGTTCACCTTTTAAATGGTTATATTCACTTTAAGAAAAACCAATGCTTACGTTTATATTTTGAATTGTAATGTTACTTTCTGAAATGCATATGTTCATATGTTTTATGCCTATGTTCACCTTCTGAAAAGCTAATGTTCACATCTAAGGGAACCTATGCATATGTTCATATTTTGCATGATTATGTTCATTGATAAAAAAAAATGCTAGAAAATCGGATGAAATTCATACGCAAATGAAATTGATCAAAGCTAAAAGAAATTCAATTCATATGAATTCAAAAAATCAGATAAACAACCAGTTCCATATTGTAAGGAACAAATTCAATCGTTAAATTGAAAAAACGAGAAAGATAGAAAAAAAATAGAGGAAAAAGGAATTAAAGAAGGAAGGAGAAAAAACCGAGTATAATTTGTGAATTCAAAGATTCATATAAACTTTAATCAATCGAAATTAAAGCACAAAAAATTCATACTTAATAACTACTTTCATGTTATAAGAAACAAATTTAATCAAAAAAGTGTAAAAAAGGGGGTAAAATTAAAAAACAGAGGAGAGAGAAAATAAAAAATGAAGGAGAGAAATAGAGGAGAAGAAAGCTAATATTCATATTTGTGCTATTGTTACACCTATTTCTAGGTGCATGAGTGTGCACCTAAGAATATACGTATTAGGTCACTCTCCCATTAAGCCATTACCCTACTTAAATATGGAGCGCTAGCTTAGGCCCCGTTCTTTATCGGTAAATTGAGCTAAAGTGAACTGAAACGTTCTGCATTGAACCCTTAATGACTCGTTTGAATGATGCTAGCATGTTGCATCTCATCTTGTATGTCGATTAACCAATTGGGCAATAAATATATACTACCTATATTCTTTTATGTTTTCTCACTATTCATTGAGTGAAACTACAAAAAAAAATGTTCGCCTGTTGCTAATCATGTAATAAAAAATTAAATGTGTGATCTTATTAGAATTGTTTCATTTATAGTTGGTTAAACATATGCATTGGGAACCGCACAAAATGTAATTTTATGTCATTATACTCACTAGGCTTGTAAGTCTTAAACTCTTAACTTCAATTAGTATTGTGAATAAACTTAGCAAGAGTGATGATAAAGTTAATATGAGTATGTAAGATTATATATTTTAAGAATTCAAGACGGGTAATTTAATGCTTCTCACAATATTAATGGTTAAAATAAATTGACATAGGTAGTACGGAGTACTAGTTACTTAAACCCTATATAAGAGGCTCATGTTTCATCTACACTTTAAATTTAAAGAGTTTCTCATATGAGAGGATGTGGTAAAATATATATATTCCCTTCACGGCTTCACCTCATAATACAAAGTATGTTTTTTTTTTTTGGAAAATTTGCCATTTGCAGCCATTTTTTTTAAAAATTGCAAACTGCAGCCCAAAATTTCTTATAAATTGTAAGTTACAGTCCGATTTAACTTTTTCATCGGTTTACGTGTCGAAAAATATTTGGTTAAGATTTTAAGGGTCATTTTAGGCCATGAAGTTCCAAATTGAGCTCGAAAATAGAAAAAAAAATTACGTAAGTGTCTCGTTTTGCGTAACAAAAAATATATCGAT